GGGAGACCAAGATGCATTTCCGGGTTCCTGGATGCTACCTGGCCCAGGCCTGGGTTTTGCTGCCTTTTTGGATTGAAACATAAACTGAAGTTCTCTCTGTCTCTTCCCCTCTTGCTGTCATTTTGACTTTCATTAAATAAATAAAGCTTAGAAATTTTGAAATTTGTCCACACAAAGGGTCTTTAAAGGAAAATGTGCATTATGAAAAACCAAAACTGCATTTGGCACAGCATTTGAGACACTCCTTCGGACACACACACTCCATACCAGAGTGCAACTCAGCTCCTCATTTCAGCTTCCTGTTAATGCCTGGGACAGAGCAGAGGAGAGCTCAAGGAGCTGGGTCACTGCCACACGTGGTTGACAGATTGAGATTTTGGGTGCTGGCTTCAGCCTGGCACAACCATTGTAGACATTTAGTGAGTTAGCCAGCAAGTGACAGATATTTTTCTCTTTCTTTCTTTTTCTCTGTCTTCTCAATAAATAAAGGTAAGAAAAAAAATACATCGTAGTTGTTGGAATTTGACATTGCAGTTAAGCCACCTCCTGGGACACTAGTATCACATATGGGAATACCTGACTTCAAGTCTGGATTCTGCTCCTGATTCTACCTTCCTGCTAATTTCACACTTGGAGGCAGCACGAGGGGATGGCTCAAGTCCTGGGTCCCTGCTATCCATGCTGAGGACCCAGAGTGAGTACCTATCTCTTGGCTTCTGCCTGGACAACCTGCAAAGGCTTTTAGCAAGTGATCCAGCAGTTGGGAAATCTCTCTCTCTCTCTCTCTCTCTCTCTCACTACTACTCTCACTCTCTCTGTCTCTTTCTGTATCCCAGCCTTTTGAACAAAAAAAATCAAATAATTTGAAAAAATTATTCATGGATTTCAACTTTTTACACAAAAAACACTATCTTTTACTTCCATTTGGACCAAACTGCGAAGGATCCTAATACAATGTAAATGCTATGCAAACAGTTGTTAGAGCATACTGTTTAAGTATTTAATGACAAGGAAAACAGTCTGTACACAATCAGTATGGGTGCAGCTCTTCTTTCAAGTATTTTTTTTTTTGACAGGCAGAGTTATAGACAGTGAGAGAGAGAGACAGAGAGAAAGGTCTTCTTTCCATTGGTTCACCCCGCAAATGACCACTACAGACAGAGCTACGCTGATCTGAAGCCAGGAGCCAGGTGCTTCCTCCCAGGCGGGTGCAGGGCCCAAGCACTTGGGCCATCCTCCACTGCACTTCCGGGCCATAGCAGAGAGCTGGACTGGAAGAGGAGCAACTGGGACAGAACCAGCACCCCAACCAGGACTAGAACCCGGGGTTCCGGCTCCGCAGGTGGAGGATTAGCCTAGTGAGCTGCAGCGCCGGCCCTTTCAAGTATTTTTGATGTGTGGTTCATTGCATGTGGGGATGGAGACATTAAGGATGTGGAGAGACAACTGTCCTTTCAGCACAGGGACACAGCCCTATGTCCTTCCCCAGCTCAGGCCACCCCCACTTCTAAGTTCCAGAGAGGCTTGACTGGAGCACTGGAGAGTGCCTAGGAGCCCCTGGTCTCTGCTGGAGTCCTGCCCTCAGGTCCCAGAGAGGGTGAGGTGGACGCCTGCCCTCTGAGGTATGCGTGCCACACAAGTTCATGCTCTGGAGGAGCTCCAGGACGGGGCTGCAGACCACGCTACCTTGCTGGTGGATTTCTGGCAAGACTTGTTTACAGGACCCATGGCTTCTGTCCCAGAGCCTCCTAGCCGCTTTGCCCAACTCCACATCTCCATTCCTCCATACACAGGCACTCTAGACAGACACAGATGGATGCACAGTGGTGCCACCTGGTGGCCCATGTGGATCTGGACAAGCTGCTGGGAGCCCACAGGGAGTTCTGTAATCTGAGGAGCCAAAACACCCTGGGCAGCCACCAGCCCCTGCCTCTAGAGAGAGTGGACCAACAAGGATCTCCGAAATGGCAAATACAGCTTAGCAAAGAGGCTGCCAGGGTCTCACGGTGTGACCTTGTGCCAGACAAACAGCTGCTCTGAGGCTATGGAAACTAATTTCCATCTGATTTTGCCATGAACCTAACAGTGCCCTGAAAATAAAGTCTAATCAAAAACATGTTATAGTCTCATTGGGGTGCCTAGGGCATCCCAAGGGAGCAGTGCATAAAGGACAAACAAAAGAAGGGGCTATGCAAGAAGAAACTGCAGAGGGAGGCAGCCTGAGAACAAACAACACTGAAGGGGTGAGCAGGGATTGAAGCTGTCGGGCACATCCAAAATTGCAATCATTCTATTGAAATCCATGGAATTGCTGGTAGCAAATTCTGTCAATAGATATACCCCACAGAATCATATACTCCAAAGTGTAAATGCCATGGCATAGGAATTCTATTTTGGGAAAGATACACACACACACACACACACACACAAACTACTTGGAAGTAAACAGTTCAGATTCTCTTTCAACAAAAAGTTGGTTTTCTTTGAAGGGAGCTCTTGTTAGCAGGAAGCATGCAGTAAAGACCCTAAGAGTGTGCCAGTCAAAGGTGCTGGGCTCTGTAAATACCCTCTTTGGGCCTCAATTTCCCCATCTTCTGGAATCTCTTCCTCTTCTTTTTAAAAAAGGCAGGATTTATTATTATTTATTTGAGAGGCAGAAAGGGGCAATGACAGACAGAGCTCTACTATCTGCTGGTGCAATATACGGATACCTACAACAGATGAGGCTGGGCCACTCTGAAGGCCAGAGACCATAATTACTTCAGCCATCTTCCACCATGTTCCCAGATGCGTTGGCAGGAAAATGGATTGGAAGCAGGGCAGCCAGGTCTCATTCTGGAGCTCTGATATGGGATTCCGGCATTGCAAGGGGTGGCCCAATCCACTGTGCCAAAACACCAGCTTAGGGCCTGGATCCATTTTGCAGAACAGCACAGTCATCCCACTGTGTCTATAAGAGATTATATTTCATAGAATCTATGCATATCCTCCCACATGTTAGCCTTTAAATGAAATCTGGATTACTTATAATGCCTATATAAGTGCTATAGCAACAATCATTCTGTACACATATTGTGTACAAATGCAACTTTTTCTTTCTAATTTTAAGATAGATCTTATTTATTTTATTTATCTGAAAGGCAGAGTTACAGAGAGAAGGGGAATAAGAGAGAGACATCTTCTATCTGCTGGTCCACTCGCCCACATGACCAATATGACCCAGGCTGGGCTGGGTCAAAACCAAGAGCCTGGAACTCCATCTTGGTCTCCCATGTGGGTGGCAGGGGCCCAAGGTTGTGGGCCATCTTCAGCCTTTTCTCAAAGCACATTAGCTGGGAGCTATATTGGAATGGAACATTCAACTTGAGCCTAAGCCCATTTGGGAGGGCTGCATCATAGACTGTGGCTAAATCCCTGCACCTCCATGCTGGCCCTTTGTTAAAATATTTTTTGATGATGGATGTTTGGATGCCCAGATGGCAGGAGCCACAGGTGCTTGCAAATCCTCTCTGAGTGTTCATCAAGTGTTGTTCTATCTCATGTGTCCACATCCCATCTCACATTAGCCCTTATAGATCGGGGTTGTTATCATCCTGCTCTGCCGGGTAAGGTGACTGCTTCAGGTCACAGCACGGCTGTTTGTGGAGCCTGGATTCACATCTAGATTACAGTCTTTTAACTGCTTCTGTGTATTGATCCCTGAAAATTTTTTTCTTTTAAGATACTTAGTTGAAAGACTGTGTGACAGAGATAGAGATGGGGGGGGGGGGGGCAGAGAGAGATTTTCCATCTGCTGGTTCACTCTCCCAGTGGTTGCAAATGTCAGGGCTGGGCCAGGCCATAGCCAGGAGCCAGGAACTCCATCTGGGTCTCTCACGTGGATGGCAAGGGCCCAAGAACCTGGGCCGTATTCTGTTGACTTCCCTAGTGCAAGGGCAGAGAGATGGATTGATACAGGGGCAGCTGGGACTTGAACTGCTGCCCATATGAGATGGCGGCATTGCAGGCAGCTGCTTAATCTGCTGTACCATAATCCTGGCCCAGAGTCCTGATAATTCTTTGCCCTTCTTCATTGAGTACGTCTGTGTGGCTGTTTTTGCAGAGAACAAAAAGGACATGAAAAGCCATTATATATCACACAGCTCTGAGGCCCTGGTGTGGCCCAGAGCTGGTCATTTTTTATATTAAAGATTTATTTATTTATTTATTTATTTATTATTTGAAAATGAAGGAGAGAGAGAGAATGTGTGTGTGTGCATGTGTGTGTGTGTGTGTGTGTGTGTGAGAGAGAGAGAGAGAGAGAGCGCATGAATCTTCCATTCATTCACTGGTTCACTCCCCAGATGGCTGCAAGGGCCAGAGCTAGTCCTAAGCTGCAGAGCCTAAGCTGGGAGTCAAGAGCTTCATCCAAGTCTCCCACATGGGTTCAGGGCCTCAAACACTCGAGCCGTCTTCCCTGCTTTTCCCAGTTCATTAGCAGGGAGCTGGATCACAAGTGTAGCAGCTGGGCATGAATCTGAGCCCTTATGTGATGCCAGCATTACATGCGGAGACTTTACCTGCAAAGCCACAATGCCAAACCCCGGAGCAGGTCATTTACAAGAGTTCCTGAGCATTCTCTTGTGCTAGTTTCCTGCTGTCTGGATTGCTGGAGCCTTTTAGGTGATTTGTCCCCTCCATCCTTCCCTCCCGTCCCCTCCTCTTCCCTTTGTTTCCCTCTCTTCCTTTTTTTCCTGCCCATAGTGGGTGTACTGTGGAAAATCTTTCATTGGAAAACATTTTCAAATTGTGTGATTTGTGTTCCAGAAGGGAGATTTGAGGAAGAAAGAGGGACATCATGGGCCTTGGGTGGGGGCAGCAAGCCCTGCTGTGCCACCTGCAGGAGCCACATGCCTGTTCTGAGGCTGGGCTTCTCAGTTCCCATACTGTACAAGCTCTGTATTTATGGGAAGCAGAATGCAGTAGAAGACGACAGTGTCCAGAACACCGAGGCTACTCACCCAGACAGGAGGAGAAGCGGTCACTGAACAACAGGCTTGGGTTGACACTAGCTCCCTGCAGAAGATCCTCTCACAGCTCACTTCGCCCAGCTGAGGAGACAGAGAGATGGCATGAGGAACCCCAGCTCCTCTTGTCTGCCCAGAGCAGTGACCAGCAGGGCCTCCTACACCAGCAGCGGGACCCACACTAGAGTGCATGGGTCCTCATCTGGACAACAGGTGTAGACAAAATACACATCTGGGGCCTCCATACAGAAACCACATCTCTAGTTGCACCTCCAACATGATGGAGAGACAGTCAAAAGCAGTCACAGATGGTGCCACAGCTCACTTGGCTAATTTTCCAAGTGCAGTGCTGGCACCCCGGGTTCTAGTCCCAATTGGGGCGCCGGATTCTGTCCTGGTTGCTCCTCTTCCAGTCCAGCTCTCTGCTGTGGCCCGGAAAGGCAGTGGAGGATGGCCCAAGTGCTTGGGCCCTGCACCCACATGGGAGACCAGGAGGAAGCACCTGGCTCTGGCTTCGGATTGGCGCAGCGAAGGCCGTAGCGGCCATTTGGGGGGGTGAACCAACGGAAAGAATACCTTTCTCTGTCTCTCTCTCTCTCTCTCACTGTCTGACTCTGCCTATCAAAAAAACATCAAAGTCAGTAAGGCAGCTAATACAGAAGAACAGCAGGGTAGCATGGACCTATGCTAGCAGGAAGCATCTCCTTGAACAGCCAGCCCTGGATTGCCACGCCCAGCTCACCCAGCCCATGCAGTGGGTTCAGGGCTCATTGTCTAAAGTGAGCACCTGAGCATTCACCATCTTCCTGCCCTGGTAGTTGCAGTCTGCAGAGGCACAGGACACAGATGCCCATGAAAGCCAAGGACCAAGGAAGCTTGGAGGGGGCAGCTGGTGTCACTCACTGGGTAGCACTCTATGGCTGGAAGAAAAGGCAGGGACACTGATGGGACAGTCCGTTAGTGAAAAGGCCCCTGAGCTCAGCTGCAGGACACAGAAAATGCACAAGGCCCTTGCTCAGAGCAGCTGATGGACACTCAGGAAGGCACAGGTCTGGTGCCTATCAAAACAGCCCACGTCATGGGAGACAACATTATTCAGTGACGGCCATCTTCCCACAGGCACATGCGCCTCACCAGGGCAGGGCACTGGCAGTGTTGGTAAGGACCCTGTGGAACAAATGCCTGAACTTCCCAGAAAAGGTGAGCACCAAACAAACAGGAGAAAGAAGGGCCCAGAAGCAAGGCTCCCTAACAAAAGTGGAAGTGGACAAATAGGGCCAACATACAGCAGGTCCTTCAGAGGCCACATGCATGTGTGCCCTGGGTTTCTCAGTCACTCTGTTGACCTCATCCCTTTCCACACATGTATGCAACACAAGCACATGGAAACCCAGAGATGGGCTGCATCCACATTAACAATTTCACTACAACCGGGAAGGAAGATCTGCTTTCATTTCCCAATCCCAACTACACTGCTGCCTGACACAATTTTTCACTCTGACAGGCAGTCTGGCTTAAGGGTCTGAAATGTCTGAGGGGACTACAGAAGCCCAAGGAATGAAGCACCTGTTCAATCATCAGTGTACCACATCTGACTGAGCTTCATGCTTATGCACCTGGGAAAGCAGCAGATGATGGCCCAGGGCCTTGGGCCCCTGTCACTCAAGTAGAAATCTTGGATATCACTCAGCTCCCACCTTTGCATGATCCCAAACCACAATTAGAATAGATACATCTCTTGGCACAAGTGTGTGTGTGTGTGTGTGTGTACTTCCCAAATAAACAACAACAACAAAAAAAAAAAAAAAACAGGAAGATTTCTCCTTACACCTTTAGGAATGGCTAAAAATAAGATGGCTGAAATGCCGAGTGTTGATGAGGTCATGGAGCAACTGGAACTCCCATACAGGGCAGGTGGCATAGTAAAATGATGCAATCACTTTGGAAAACTGTAGCTCTGTCTACTAAAGCTACACAAATACCTACACTCTGAATCTCTTGGGTATATTTCACTCT